TATATTCATTATTATATTGCATTATAAATTCTTTCATATAATGTTTTATTCACTTCTATATGAACTTGAAGTTTGCTATTATTGTAGTTATATTTGTAGGTTTCAAACCATTCATTGTAATATAGCCTGCTACGTTCAATTGCCTTTGGTCATACATTTGCGAGTTCTCAAACACAGACCATGTAGCTGCTTTCTGAGCCTTTAGGGCAAGTTTGAAAGCTGTCTTGTTATTATGTGGAAAACTCAGTCATTGCAATTATTATATCATCACATAGCGAAAATTTCTGTTTCAAAAAAAGGAAAAGATGATCTATACTTGCTGGGCGTCTATTTCCAAAAGACAACTTGAAACTTCCCAATCTCATCACAACACAGCTCCTAAATTCAAGAAGCAAACTTGCTGGCAATGGTGCAACAGAGCCGCTTCACCCCTTGGAAACCTTCATCATCAAGGGAGACGGTAGTTAGCTGTTTTAGCAGAGCATGCTCGGTAGCTTGATCAAATTCAGACCTTGACTTAACCACGAAGTATCCCCCACATTCCCAAGCTGAAAGGGTACAAAAGTTTTCTGATGTATGTAGCTGCACAAACAAAATAAATTCCTGATAAGCATGCACATCAAATGTGTAACCAGCAGACAAGCCATCAAACTTAGGATGTACGATTAGAGTTCTGAACATTTTTTTTTTAATAAAAAAAGATAATCAATTAACCATGCTTATAAACGTAAAAGCACCTCCACACATAAACATGCAAAGCTACATGGTACATGTATTACCACTGTCACAATAAAGTTACAGGACTGAACCCAGACAATAAATAGCATCTTTGATGTTTTCAGTTAAAAATAAAACCATAACCATTTACCTGAAAAAATAAAAATATTCTTTTGCCATGATCAGATATCAGCAGATTATATGGAATGAGCTTTTCCTGTAAACACGAACATATCTCAGCAAGAACCACCATCATCATATTCAAGTGGTTGCTCTCAAAAACGAGAGTCTTAATGGGGTAATCTGTAACAGAAGAGATACGCATCCCCTCTTGCCCATTGCCAAAAAAAGTATCCAAAGGCATGAATTCAACAGGTAAAGGGATTTGAAGGTAGCAGGCCTGCACACAAGATGTATTTTACACACTCAGTTTGTTGTTGAGTTGAGATTGAGGGTATAAACATGTCATGGGCCTCTCCACCCATTGTTGGTTGGATGCTCTAATTCTATCTGCTATAAAAGATGAAATGTGGAACCAAACTTCTCTATCTTTGAACAGAAAAGTTTTTAACAAAAGTGACTTTACAAGTAATTTCTTGATGTTGCCATAAATCGCGAGCACAGGTGACTAAAACATCAGTTTACCTTATCGAATATGTCATAAGATATAAAATAATACTTTGTATAAGAAATTCTATACCTGGAAATATATATGAGAAGCACTAGGTGAATAGTCATAGAATAGGCGAAAAGAGCAATTATTTACTTCAACAGCAACACGCAGAACTAGTTCCAAGGATCTTGCATCTAGGAACTGGTGAAGAATGTAAGAGCTATGTGGTACCAGGAAGACATGGCCATATTCCACAGGGGATGACTGAAAAGTAAGCAAAGCATCATTTAATTCTTTCTTACCAAGGTAAAATGCTGTTGGCATATCTAGAAAACCAAAGTCCTAAAAAGCCTCTAAAGAAATGTCTACATTAAAAAAAAATATATATATAAAATTCAGAAAAACAATTAAACATCTCCACTTCGCATGGTTATGATCATTTGGTTGGGGTACTTAACAACCGCTAGTTATCAATTTATCACCATTCATGGCACTAAAAATTTGAAAAAAGATAAACAATGTCTTACGTTGATAGTAATCAATAAGCCACAATCAGGCACGGCAGCTGAAAGAACAAGCTCAGGGTTTAACTTTTCACCACTTGCAACACAGAAGAGTAACTCCTCCTGGCGTTCCATCCAACTAAACTCAAACACATCTTTTTGGTGGCGGATTTTGTTCTTGCCCAGCTTTGGCATACAATCCCTACTCCATCCTTCATTAAACTGAGCAATAAACTTTCTCCTGCCACCAATGACCTGCATAAACCATAAAGTATCTCCAACTATAAGTGCCTTAACTTAATCATCAAGTTAAAAGAAACATCAGGCTGTTAATAACAAAGACCTTAATTTCAGAGGTTGTCACATCATATCTGAATAGACCTTTCCACATTCGATCTTCCCACTACAAGGTAGGAAGAAGCATGTAAGTCAATGTCTAAATGACATAAATCTACAAGTAGCAGGGTTGTAATTTGTCATGTTCCATACCTGCGCTAGAAGAATAGAATCTAGCACACTCTGTTCTTCTTCAATTAAGCATGAAATGCCTCCAACAGAACCATTATCCAATACAGAATTGCTACCAAAGCGGTATAAAGGGATTCTTATATCTGAGAAAATTCCTTTATTAAGATAAAAGTAACAAAATTTGAAGTCCTTCTGATACTATAAACCAACCAAGAAAAGCAATACGGGCATTGTAATCATAACAAGAAGAAAAATCAGACACTACCCAATAACAATCAATAAAAAATGCTAAAACCCATCAGAGCACAAACCTTGCAACGACAGTGGAGGAGGGCACTGAGACAAAAAGTTGTCGTCTTGAAGCTGCTCCACTGTAACCATGTCTACTGCTTAATAAAAAACGAAGTATTTTGCAAAATGGCAAAAAACCCAGAAGGGGAAAGTTGGACGGTCGTCGTTTCTATCAGCAGCCACCGCCGGCGAGGAAGGTAAGATCGGAGGGATGCCCACCGGCCGAGGGTAGGGCACCGCGACCGCCGTGAAACGAAGGGCATGCAAACAAAGACTTAGAAAAAGCTCTCATGCATTCTCTGCCCCTTGAAATCTTAATGCTAGGAGTAATTGCTTTGATTAGAGCCGTGATTGCATCAACGAAGCCAGCCCTCGCCGGACCAGCGGTTGCAAATCTATATGGTGATCGAGATTGGCGAGAATTGTGACCGAAATTTGTGTATCTCTGATTTTCTGTTGACACGGCCTTTGCTTCTGCTTCTTTTCTTTCTGTTTCTTCTTCTCAGGGCGTCTTTAGATTTCCGAAACAGAGGTACCAATCTACGGCTGCTTTTTCGACGAATAGGAACGTGACGCTTGTGGTCTGGTTTTGAGTCTTTTGACCGAAACATAAAAGCCCAGTGGGCTAGCCTTTGCATCATCAGCCAAAATTGGGCCAAGATTGCACCCCAGATCCAAGCCTACTTTGTTGTAATAAAAAAAATTCCAAAAAACCCAATATATTTTTTTTGCCAAGATTAAGCTAAATGAGGTTGCAAGTTTAAAAGTATTTTTCATTTGGCAATTAAAAAACTAAAATTTGATTTTATGAAGATGTTGAGAGTCACAAAGACCAAAATTTTAAATTACGTTATCTTGTGCTAGAATTTCACAAGATTTTGTTGTAAACTAAGATAGGCTAGAGATCTTTTAATCTGTACAAGTCAAACTGAATTTTGATGTTATAAAACTTAAAAACAAATTACTAAATCAAATACATACTACCCAGAAAGAGGCTTTGCTTAGTATTGGGTCTGTGAATTTGGTGCATTTCCATTGATTGTTTCACGGAGACATGTTGGCGTATAGCCGCGCGGCTATACTTTTAAAACATTATATTTATCGAGTATAGCCTATTTTTAAAACATTATATTTCGGCTATACTCTTAAAATATTCTATTTGCGCGGCTATATGTTTTAAATACTTCACAAAAATTGTATTTATTGAGTACCGCCGCCCGGCTGTATATGTAAACTAATTCCATTTATAGAGTATAGCCGGTCGGCTATACATTTAAAATATTCTATTTACAGAGAATCGCCGGACGGCTATACTTTGAAAAAAAAATCTATTGCGCATAGCCGGTCGGCTATATGTTTTAAATATTCGATTTGTAAAGTATAGCCGGTCGGCTATATGGTTAAACAAATTCAATAGAGTATAGCCGATCGGCTATATGGTAAAAAATTTATATTTTATGAAGTATCGCCGCACGGCTATACTATAAAAAATTTCTGTTTATTGCGTATCGCCGCTTGGCTCTACTGTGAAAATTCCTATTCATGGAGTATAGCCGCCCGGCGATACCGTTTGAATATCTATTTATGAAGTCAAGCCGCATGGCTATACGGTTTAAATAATACTTATTTAATTACTTTCATTAGTATTAGTTCTTTAGTGAATAATTAGTATTAAATATTTTAATTTACTTCTTAAATCCTATTACTTAATAAATAGTAATTAATTTTTTTTTAAATTTTAAAAATTTTAAAAATTATAAATTTTTTAAATATTAATTATTCATTATGTTAATAGTAGTTAAAACATTACTACTAATTAAAGTAATTAAAAAAGAGAAATTCGGATTATGCTATTTGAAGGGTATCGCCATGGCTATTTTGTTAAAATATTGTATTTATGGAGTATTGCCGGTCGGCTATACTGTTGAAATATTCTATTTAGTATAGCCGCCCGGCTATACATTTGAGATATTCTATTTAAAGAATATATCCGGCCGACGTTACGCTTTAAGTATATTATTTTTTAATATACAAATAACAAAAAATAAAGTGCATAAAATGCGAGTGTGCGTGTCAACTGCTCACTAGGGTTCGAACCGTTGGGTATAAAAAAGCTCAGAACTGATAATTGAAATTTTTTAGGAAGTTTCACTAAAACACCCAAAATGAGAGCCGAAATTATAAAAAAACCCAACACCCAAAACACTTTATAAACACACCCAAAGCCCATCATTACACACACTCAAAACCCATTTATAAACACACCAAAAAAATATATAATTGTTGACTTTGGAGTTGACTTTGGGGTTGATTTTGGGTGTGTTTCTATATTTAAATAGTGTCTGAATTTTTTATAAATACTTATTTAGGGTTGGGTTTATTTATAAATTTGTAAATTTTTTACTCTCCCTTCTCCTTAAACCACCTCACCACCTCACTCCGTACAAAACCCTAGAAACTCTCAGCTGCTCGCTTCGTCTCTTCGTCTCTTCGTCTTGCTCATAATCTCAAAATGCCTCCCAAATCTGCAAAAGCTAAGGAAGCACCAGCTGAGCGACCCATCCTTGGCCGATTCTCATCTCACCTTAAGATTGGCATTGTAAGCTCATATCCCTGTTTGTTCATTATGTTTCTCCATTTATTTTTCTGTTTGATTCCCCATAAAACTAGGAAATGAACAGGAAATGAAAAAAAATTGGGTCATTTCACTTCATTAGCGTGTAAGACAATTTTGAGCGATGCCGATTCCATATGTTAATTTTTGGGTTGAGCTATTATGACTTTTCATTTATTTGTTTTTAAAGCGCAGCATCATGCGTGTTAAATATATATAATGAAACTTTTCTTTAAATTTTGCGTTCAATTTAATATTTTACCCCAATTATTGAGTTCTCGGGTTGAGCTGTAATTGTACTTAGTTTTGTAGTTTTCTGTTGCATTTGCAAGTCCACATTAAAAAGGAAAGTAATTAAATATTGCAAATGATGAAGTGATTGTACTCTAAGCTTTTGTTTCTGGATAGGTTGGATTGCCGAATGTTGGAAAATCTACTCTTTTTAACACTCTCACAAAGTTGTCAATACCTGCTGAGAACTTCCCTTTCTGCACAATTGAACCCAATGAAGCCCGAGTCAATGTTCCCGATGAGCGATTTGACTGGCTTTGTCAATTGTACAAGCCAAAAAGCGAGGTTTGTCTGTGACTTGATTTACTGTGGGAAGCCTAATGTTATGGTTTTTTGCTAACTACTGAGATCAGGTTTGGCTGGTAGTTTTGGTATCTTTCAGACTATGACAATTTTTTAAACTTATGATACTCGATGGATTGCCTTTTGGCGTTTCCATTCAGACTCTTGATTCTTATTAGACCTTTTTTTTCCCCTTGAATTTTCATGATAGTTTTTGCATCTGTTTATTTGTATATCATTGCCGTTGCTGCCATGCCCTCCCGTTTTAATCCTTGCTGTCTCTTGTGTCGCACTAACATTGTTCCCTTCAATGTCATTGCTTGCATCTCTATGATTTTAATCCTTACCATGTTTTGAACCCTACTATGAGTTGTTTAGTATTTCTGTGTTTGGCATCTTTTTCATCAGTCTAGTCCTTACCATCTATTGCATGCCACTGCTTAACATATTTCAACAGATTCATTTAACATGCTGCTTGAGTGTTGGTTGTCAAGCAATAGATTCCCTAGATGGTTGCAATAATCTACAAACACCAGGGCATAAATGAAAACTTTTAGTGATGAAAAAACCAACTAAAGAAAAATAAAATACCAGGTGGACATTGACAGGTCACCATAGGATCCCAAGTTTAGGTCCTCCTTCTTAGTATTTTGGGCAATTTTCGTGAATGTTGATGGTACTGTAGTAGGAGTTGAAACTGGAACAGACCATCTACCTGTTTGGTTACTAACACAATGTTAATGACCTATTTCTGCAACCAAATATGTTTATATGAATGGTGATATTATTTTTGACAAAGGCAATTGGATTTTTCATTTTGGTAGGTAAGCTTATTGTTCAGCATATAATTGAACTTTTTCTTAACATGTGCAATTCATTTTGATATGCAGGTCTCAGCTTTTTTAGAAATCCATGACATAGCCGGACTTGTTCGAGGTGCCCACGAAGGACAAGGGTTGGGCAACAGTTTCTTATCCCATATCCGTGCTGTTGATGGCATATTTCATGTTTTACGTAAGATGTTTATACTTTCGATGCACTACATGCTTGAATGTTGTTATCTTAGAAGGCATAGTACTTCTGTAACAGCCAAATAACTGTTGATTCTAATATTAACATGAAGAACTAAGGGGAGACTTATTAGTCTGTCTTGAGTAGTATCGTATTTATTTCATGTCTATCTTTAGGATGATGGACAGTGTAGCTAAAGTTTGAGAAAAACTAAAAAAGAATATTCTTTATGAGGGGAGTAAAACACTTATAGTGGCTAAGGGGAGTTAATGTGTATACAGGTCACAGCTTTTCTCTAACTTATCATGTCTTTGGGCCATTCAAGTTAATTAGATGGTTGGTATACACAGTACAATCCAAATTTCAGTTGGTTTTAGTATGTCATGAGAACATAAATAATTGTGACCCGTGACATGCTTCAAAGAAGAAGACCCTGTGCATGTTCACCTTCACAGTGGTGTGGCTTGGTCCTCAAAGTTGTATTTCCTGTTGAGGGAGAATTTCTTGGATATGGGGGCCAGAAAGATGATTCTCTTTGGTGGTGTGCAGTTTGGCTCTTATGTGGACTGTTTGGATGGAAATAAGCAATAGGTTTTTTTAATGATAAAGCAGAGGAAATGGATCTGCTTTTGGATGGAATTATTTTTAACTTCTGTTTGGCATCATTGTCAAAGCATTTTTCAATATTCCTTTTAGTGTCGTTCAGCTCGATTGGGGAGAGTTTGAAGTTGAATGCAGAATGTGTTTTTGTTGAGGAGGTGGATCTGATGGACTTCTCATCTGTCCTACTTGTAATGGTCTTGTATGAATGTATTGCTACTACGAAATTCACTGTTCTCTTTAACCATTTTTCTAGGTGCATTTGAAGATCCGGATATCATCCATGTTGATGATACTGTGGATCCTGTGAGGGATTTGGAGATTATTAGTGCAGAATTGCGCCTAAAGGTGTGCTTTACTTGTCTGTGATATCCTAACTTTGGTTGATTCTTGGTTGCTTTTTATGATCTATATTTAAAACCATCATTTTTTATTCGCTTTCTCTGTGTGAGTGTGACTTAATGCATTTAAACCCTGTAGCTCCCCTTCTACTCTTACTTTCCAAAATCTCATTATGCTTGTTCTTTTCTATCTTTCAAGTTGCAACTTATCTGTCCATATAGATTTTTAAGAGAGTTATATCTTATTTTTTCTAGGATATTGAATTCATGGAGAGGAGGATAGAAGATCTTGAAAAGAGCATGAAGAGGAGCAATGAAAAGGCGTTAAAAATTGAGAATGAGCTATGCCAAAAGGTTTGTTTTATGAGATGATTTAGTTTAATATTCTTGAATCTTGACTTTGACGTGCAACCTTTTTGTTTATGTCATGGTAATGTATCTGGTGTATTGTAATTAATATAGAAGCTTGTTACTCATGGTTTATTAGTATAAGAACTATGCTTGTCATACTTTTGGTTTTAGAATCTATAATATCCCTTAGCATGTATTTAAGGATTTGTTTTTGTTTGTTACTTACTAAATTGAACAATGATCGCGTATCTAAAGATCAAGGCATGGCTTGAGGATGGAAAAGATGTCCGTCTAGGGGAGTGGAAAGCTGCTGAAGTCGAGATCCTGAATACCTTTCAATTGCTAACGGCCAAGCCTGTTGTTTACTTGGTAAGTTACAGTCTTGCCAGGAACAGTTACCATGGTGGCTTTGTAATTTTTCTATACTGGGTGCATATTATATCTATCTTCTACTCCATAGTTCTTCGTACAATAAGCGTATGTAAATGATATAAATATTTTTTCCTTGTAAATGAATGTCTTGGTTTATTGGTTGCATGACCTCCTCTTGAATCAGTTGGAATCTTAATGTCTTGCCTTTTTTAGGAGAATGTCATGTTTTCTTTCAAAACTGTATGAGAACGTAATCATGTGAAGAATATGTGATGGGACGTTAAAGAGAGTGTAATCATGTGAAGAATTTGTGGTGGGGCATTCAAAGAAAATCAGATGAAAGAGTTGTATAGTATTGACCTTGTTTTCAGAAATTCCAATAGACCATAATTACAGTATTGTACTCATATAAAGAAAGATTGGTGAAACCTGTATAAATGTTCACTAAAGTCCATGGGGGTTGACTTCCAGATGTAAAGTACCGTTCCAGTTTCTTACATTTGGTTCTAAATCAGATTCTCTGTCAAATTATAGAAATTGTGCAGCTGCTAAACATTTTTTGGGCGCTTATGTTTATTTAGTCTGGCCTTCCAAACCAGGTTCTCATATTTAGCTATTTTATGTGTGGATGACGATTTGGCGATATCTGTACCTATATTATTTCCACAGGTTAACATGAATGAGAGAGATTACCAAAGGAAAAAGAACAAATTCTTGCCAAAGATCCATGCTTGGTATGGCCAACTTTCTGAAATATTTGTTCTCTCTATTCTCTCTCTTGCTCTGTGTATTGTTTGCATGTGTTTGCCAGTTTGTTTTCATCCTTGTGTGTTTGGTAGGTTTAGTCCATACAAGAAAGTGCAACTTGTTTTGTGTTTACACTTGGCATCCTTTTCAATTTTCACGTGTTTTATTGACCAAACTGCCTTGCTATGAATGAATCCTTTAGGATTCATACTATTGATTTACTCAAAAAGGTTTGTTTTTCCTATGAAATACTTAAACTGCATACTTCATATATTGATTTAAGGTGTTTATAAATTAAATTAAAATATTTTTTTAGTTCTTATTCTACCATTTTCCTCTAAAATGTGACTAAATATGTTAAATCTTGAAAGTAATCATGTGATGAAGGTAACATTGTCCTTTCCATGTTACAGGGTGCAGGAACATGGAGGTGAACCGATTATTCCATTCAGCTGTGCATTAGAAAGGAATCTTGCTGATTTGCCACCAGAGGAAGCAGCAAAGTATTGTGAGCAGAACAATGTACAAAGGTTAGTTCAACCCTTGATATGTCGTGAGGATTGAATGACTCCTGACATATAGTTTAAATCTTTCGTTATCTTAGTAAGGAATAGTAGCTAAAGTAAAATTATATTTATTTTGACACAGGCACACACTGCTGTCTCTTCTTCTTAACCTATCCTTTAGGGAATTTGTCCTGTTTTTATTTCTATGTTGTGTTGATACTGTTGTCCATGTTTGGGGGTCATTGGCAATCTTTTAAATGCACACCACAAAGTAGCACACAAATAACCTATTGATTTTCCTTATTAACACTAAGATTCATCAATTGTAGCATATGAAAATAAGGGTCTTTCCCGCAGAAGATTGTCTTATCTAACTACGTGAAATGTCACAAAAACTGGGCTGCTGTCCCTACTGACCAGCCACCGAAGAAATAATTATTATCCCCACTTACACATATCGAAAGTCTATGAAATTTTATGCACAGATACTAGACACGCAGAGCTACACTCACACAAATTTTTGGGATTTTTAGAGTTGATTTGCTATATAGATTAAATCGGACAACAAAAGAACAGAAACAGATTTTGAAGAACAGATTATATTTCACAATTAAGAAAATGAGTTAGGGGAAGTGCTATCCACCACCAAATAGTCATGCAAACATGTTATGTTTCAATCAGATTCCTTTTATTTCCGGATGAAGATGCTCAAGTTGGCTCAATGTTAGAACTCAACCTATTACTCTTTCTTATGTAGTATGTTAAGAGAATGACGTTTTCAACTTAACTTAGTCCCTAGCATGCAATCTAGAATGGCGTGTTCATAGATTTAACAAGTAGAAATCATTAAGAACGAAAAGAGTTTGAGTCATCACAAGGCATCATAAGTACTGGCGTTGTCTTACTTATCCTAGAAATTGATTCACATGTTAAATGCAAATAACAAGTACTACTCTAGAACATATGTAGGTCCTCATTCAACAAGGGCAGGCATACACATATTCATAGCATTAAAATCCTAAATATGCTTACTAAGTATGCATCCGTAGAAAACACATAAAGAATTCATCAACGAGACAAGTAGTGAAGCAATTTTCATCCTTTCATGAAAGAAATTGAAACGAAATGTCATAACACATTTGCAATCATATATGGGGCTTCAAAACAGCCCCTAACTACTAAAAATTTAGTTACACATTATTCTTAAATTAAACCAAAAGAAAGACATGAGTTTGGGAAGGTAAAACCGAAAGAAGAGAATGCCAAGATTTCCTCCCTCCTCCAACGTTCCTGCCTTGCCTCTCTGTTTCTTTTTCCACAGATCGCTCCCTCCAAAACTTATTCCACTAATAGCTATTTATTGATGACAATAAGTGAGAGAAAATGGTAAAACAATTGTAACTCTTTGGGTGGCCTTTAAGCCAATTACTCCCACCTAATCCCCATCTTTAATTCCATTTCCTCAGATATTTGAATAGGTTTCCACTGGCTTGTTTTTTCAGCATCCGTTTTGGCTGTCACGTTTATTGGGTTTATTGCTTTCATTGCAGTTACAAACTGCTCAGCCTCTTGTGAACCTTTCAGTGTTAAAACGGTCATTACTGCTTCTAGAAAAATGATATGAACAATCCACGAAATGCTCCAGAGAATAGACATCTGTAGCTTTCCAAGCATATATGGCACGTTCTCTAATTCATTCTGAGCTGTTCGCAACTTGCTTCCAAAGTCAGCTCACCTGCACAGGCAGTTTTGACGAATTTGTGACTTAAAAGCCCACTTGTGCTATTTTTTCTTTTCTTTGCTTGACAGATCCTACAAAACACAAAAACAGAGTAAATAGCTCAAAAATATAAGGAACTACCTAAGAAAAGACAAGTGAATTTGATGTAAAATATATATAAATATGAGCTTGTCAAATACCCCCACACTTAGCTTTTGCTAGTCCTCGAGCAAAACAAAGAAAACATGAAAAAGTAGCAAAATGAAAAACATTAGCTTTCCCTTATGTGACCCTCATAGAATTTCATTCAAGAAACCAACTCATCAGGAACCTTAGCTAGCACCAAACAAGCTAATCCAAGCTCATCTTCCTTATTCAAATGTTAGTTGAAACCTTTTAATCATCCTTGAAGTGTAGTGTGTGTAATAGCCATGCTAATGCAATTTCAAGTTTTTTTTTAAAACACCATATGCGAACGAGTGACCTTCTCACGGAACATACACTCAATCACACATGTTTAGTTTAACGTGTTTCGCTCAAAGAATCAAATGTGAAAGATCTACCATAAGCTTGCATAACGATCTCATCTCCACAATCATAATTGCAAAACTTAAATCAAGAGGACTTTTATTGGATGTAATGAGGCTTAGGGAGAGGGTCATAGAAATGAAAGGATATGTAAACACAAGTCCCAAGCTACATTGTTAGCAATTCTCTTGTTGAGATTTACAAGAACTCAAGATTTCCAACTACTCTACTAATACCTCCAACCACACCCCTTAACTGAAACTGTAGGAACTCTTCTTTT